CAAAGCAGAGCAAAGCAGAGCAAAGCAGAGCAAAGCAGAGCAAAGCAGAGCAAAGCAGAGCAAAGCAGAGCAAAGCAGAGCAAAGCAGAGCAAAGCAGAGGAGGGCAGGCGCGGAGAGGCCCATCAGTGTTTCCGACATCCGGATACTCTCACTGACTGCTCTTGTCACCAAGAAGTTAAAGCCTTTAAAAAGACGGTCGTTTTTGTTTGTTTGTTGTTTCGTAATCCCGAAGAGTCAAGGAGAGCGGATCTCACAAAGTTTTGTGCCTGTCTCAGGGCCAGTGGGCCAGGAAGAACTGTTGGAGATTTTTGGAGTTTTCCCCGAGTTGGCCCGGGTTCTCTGGTGCGAACTTGACCGGACTGCTGCGACTTGTCTTAGGTTGGGGTGAGGAGTTCGTTTGGGGTGGAGTGTGCGGTGGGTGCCTGGTTGCTAAAGGCTCGGCCTCTCCCTCCCTCGGGTCCCGGACCCTTCCCAAACCCCACACAAAGAAACAGCGCGCCACCGCTGGGCTCGTGGCCTGTTTGGGCTGGGGGCCCGGCCTGCGGCTCCCTGACTCAGACACCGCGCGCTCCGTGCGCCCCGGGTCAGGCGGGGATCCGGGGCAGTCCCGCTACTCACCGTGGTGCGCGGGAGGCGGCGTGCTCTCGGGGCTGCTCATCGCCACGCGGCGGCAGAGACACGCGGTGGGCGCACTGAGCTATGGGGGTCCCCAGCTCCTGGACCCTGCCTCTCGGTTGTAGCCGGGACTTGCACTGTGCTCGGCGAGCAGAAGGGAGGGGCTCCGCCCCAAGATAGGCACACTTCAACTTTTTTTTTCTACAACTTGGCCATGAGGTTCCCACCCATTTTTTTTTTTTTAATACACACCCGCCCACTTCCGAATGTTTTCTTCTGCGCTCTAACTTTCTGCTCAAACCTCACAGTTCACCGTGTTTCTGTTTCCATCTGCCACTATCAAAAGCTTGAGGTTAGACAGCCCTCCTCCCCTCCCCCCACTCCCACCCCCGTGTGTGCACTGGAAAAGTCCCACGTGAGACCCAGTGGCCTGGCTGGGCACTGTCCAAATAGGGACAGATAAGCGTTTCAAGCGTGGCTTGGATGCTTGGTTCTGTGCAACCGAAACCAACCTAAAAATTTCTTTTTTAAAAAAATGATTCCTCTTAATTAACATTAATCGTTGTATATATTTACAGGGTTTGGCACAACATTTCAGGGCATACATAGGCTGTGTACTGGTGGGGTCAATTAGCATTTCTAACTCTACCAATCTTTTACTTTTGGAGATATCCTGCTCAGGGTGTGCGTGTGTGTGTGTGTGTGTGTGTGTGTGTGTGTGTGTGTACCACTTACCCAATCTTGCCCTAATTTCCCCGCCTGTCACTGGTCACTAATAATTGCTACTTTGAGATGACATTGTAGATTCTACAAGACAGGTAAAACTTGTGTTTTATGCTGTGTGTCTGGCTCAGTTTACGTCATCCTTTCTGCGAGGGGTGGGAGGCCTTCCGTGTCACCTGACAGCGTCACCAGCATGTGTCATTATCTGAGTAGTGCTGTCACCCTACAAGCATGAGGACCCGAGTTCAATTCCAGTGTCTTAGTTACTTTTCTTGTTGCCGTGATGAAATAAGGTTTATTCTGGTTTGTTGTTTGAAGGTAACAGTTTATCATTTCAGAAAAGGCATGGCAGCGGAAACTTGAGGCATCTACATCGGGAAGCAGAATGGGGGCGGGGGATGCTAATACTCAGCTCACAATTAAACAATTAAACAATTAAAAAATGCCAAATGTAGTGTCACACGCTTGTAAACCCAGCACTGGAGAAGTGGAGGCAGGTAAATTCCTTGAGTTGGCTGGCCAGCGAGCCTAGGTTGCTTGGTGAGTTCCAGGTTATTGAGATACCCTGTCTTAAAAACCCGAGGTAGATGGTATCTAAGGAACAGCGGTTAAGGCTGACCTCTGACCCCCACACGCTGCCCCATTCAAACTGAAGTCCCTTTATCTCACATCTTTCCTTAATTCGTCACCCGACATGTGACATGGCCGCATCAGGGTTAGAAGGATGTTAAAGACTTTTGATGTGCTCAGAACTGTTGCTGTAGCCATTCAAGTTTCAGTCAAAATGACCGGCGGTGGCCTTGGAGCCTCTTGCCAATATTAAGCCCTCAATTTCAGACTGGTGTTAATTCTGCGACGAGAAACAATTGTATCTGCGTCTGTCTCTGTCCCTGTAGCTGTGATACAACATCCCACCAAGTGCAACTTAAGGAGGGAAAGGTTGGTTTGGACTCACAGTTGAAAGACACAATCCTTCCTGGGAAAGCCCTGGTGGCCGCAGGAAGCGAGAGGCTCCTGGGGAACTGGATCAGCCGTCCGGAAGCAGTGAGTCATGATGCTGGCGCTAAGGCCACTTTCTCCTTTATGTGCTGCTTGGGACCTCTGCCCGCAGGATGGTGCTACCTAGATTTAGGCTGGATCTCCCACACCTCTAATTAACCTTACCTAGGTACCCTATCGCAGGCAAGCTCAGACGCCCGTCTCCCGGTGACTGTATCAAGCTGGTGATTGACACTAACCATCCTACAGGAGAACTCATCAATAATGACGCTGTGCTAGATCCCAACAAAATAATACTCTTAAAGTGACAGCCGGGAGGGTGGTGGCGGCAGGCAGAGATAACGTTGATCCTTAAACCTTACACCCGACCAAGGGATAACTTGACTAGGACAGGTCTTCTCCTGTCTCTTTTCTGGAGATTTAAGATAGACATGCCGGCTTCTCACACAGAGCAAGCTGTTACAGGCCAGGATGCAGTAAAGTTGAAGAGTGTCGAGGGGTAGGACCCCGTGGTACAGGTCACGGTGGCCAGGCCTGAGGACAGTGCGGGGCTTTAATTCAGTACCAGAGGCTGGACGATTAGAAGGCTGATCAGCTCCTAGGAGGAAGTCAACAGAACACGACAGAGATGAGCCGGGTGACTCTGAGGTAGGACATGCCTGAAAACCATAATGGTGTCTACATTGCTTTTCTACTGTAAGAAAAAATGAAAAAAAAAAAGAGGCAAATAACCAGAAAGGTGTGGAAGGAGCTGGAGATATTGCTTGGTGGTTGAAACCTGAATTCGTGAGTGTAGCTCCCAGGACCCACAGAAGAAGCCTGGCACAATTCTGAATGCACCCATGACATCAGCTGTAACTCGGGCACAGGGTGTTAGGAGTGTAGACCTAAATGACTTCCCTCCCTCCCTCCCTGCCTCCCTCCCTCCCTGCCTCCCTCCCTCCCTGCCTCCCTCCCTCCTTCCCTCCCTGCCTCCCTCCCTCCCTTCCTGGGTGTGGATGGAGAGCAGAGGTCAACCCTGAGTGTCTTCTTGAGTCACTTGTGAAACAGGGTTTCTCAGTGAATCTCACTGAACCTGGAGATTGCTGATTTGATTAGACTAATTGGCTGTAAGTCCCAGTGATCCTCCTGTCTCTGGTTCCCCAGAGTTGGATCACAGCCTGTGGCCCTGCACCCAGCTGTCATTGGGTGCTGGGTGCTGAACTCAGGTCCTCATGCTTGCTTGGCAAGGCAAACACTTTACTGATCAAACCATCCCCCTAGCCCCAGGAGAGGCTTTCTGAAGGGGATTTCCGCTATTGTTATTTTTGGAAGCAGGGGATTGGCTGGGCAGAAATCCTAAGTTTCAACCTTGTTTTGATTAATGAGTTCATTAGGGTAATTCCAGTTCAGAGATGTTGCTATAACTACAGCCAAGGCAACTGGAATTTATTAGCTAATATCAGACTGTCTTCCAATGTGTATCAGTTTCTGTTGTTGGGAGACAGGCATGGGGTTCACAGTGTTTTATCTTCCAAACATTTGGTACTTTGGTTCTTTTACATTTCCTGACTATATCAGGTATTGGAGCATCTCACTGTGTCTTAACTTGGCACACATCGATACCTGTCAGGTAACGTGGCCAATGAGCTGAATGAAGTACTTGAAATCAAAATGGGATCCTGGGCTATTAGATGGACTGAGGAATTTGGGTTTTGGTATTGTGGTGGCTAGTTTAGTTGCCAAATTGACAGAACCTGTAATCAACTGGGAAGCAGGTGTCAATGAGTAATTATCTTGATCATGTTGCCTTGTATGCATGTCTTTAGGGAATTATCTTATTTACCTAACTGGCACAGGGGACCTGAACTGAGTTAAGAGCAGAGAAGTCTAGCTTAGTACCAGGCATGTGTACATTCACCCTCTCACTGCTCCTGGAGGTGGGATGACTAGTTTCTCTGCATCCCTGCCTTGGCTCCCCTACAGTGATGAACTATAACTGTAATCCAAGTGTAAGTTGATCTTTGTCGGGTTGTTTTAATCACGGGACAGAAATGAAATCAAGACAGGAATGGATTCACGCGCTAATACTGGGTTTGTTTTTCTCTCTTCTGTATATATTTTTTTTTCTTTTTTGGAATGTGTCACATAGAATGTGGCTTGGAAGCTGAAGGTACTCTATAAGTGGGGGCTTATTATTATCTTTATTTTTGCTTGGTGGTGTTACTCATTGATGGAAAAAAAAACCCACCAAGTCAGAGTAATCTGGCAGAGTTCTGGGGAGCAGTGGGTGTCAGGCTTAATGGAGAGTTGCCTGCTGGATGAACCCCCATGATGGTTTGTTATATCATCGAACAAATATGCACTCTTCCTGTCCTCAGCATGAGTCTGCAGCCAGCCAGCCAGTCCTGCCAGAGCTCTGCTGTGTTTGGAGGAATATTAGAGGCTCTCCCTGCCACTGCATCTAGCCGAAGCCTGGAATGTTCTCCTGGGGTGGAGGGGATCTTGGCCCTCTGCTTCAGCCCTTCGCAGTGTGCAGAGCACGCTCAGATGGTCACTGTTTCTCTAGCCCTTTGGGGTGGATGGTTCTTACTACACCGTTCTGATTTGTGTATAGCTCATCAGGACCTGCTGGAAATGACACTCTGGGACGTATAATAATTTTATTGTCTATGGCAATAGTAAAAACTGATGAATATGAAGTGGAGTTTCTTTTCTGGTAAGAATGGATTTGACTGAAAGGAAAAAGACGAGATAAAAGTCATAGTTTTCTGACTACTGGTACACTTGAAGTGTGAAGATGAGACTAGAGTCTTGAAGGATGGAAGCAAGCTGGGTGTGAATATAGAAATATTTGCAAAACAGTAAACTGTAGATGGCATTCTTTGTACATATAAGGAAAAGGTTTATACGAGCTGTGAAGAATTCTGTTCTTTTTCCTCCCACCAGCCTATCCACTCATCTGTCCATCCACTTATCCTCCCATCATTTGTTCAGTGGTGTGGGAGAATTGTCTGTATTCTGTCAATCATGTTTTAAATAAACGCTGATTGGCCGGGCAGGAGGTGTAGGCGGGAAAACCAGGCAGGAAGTAGAAATGATGCAAGGAGAGCAGGAGAATTCTGGGGAAGAGGAAGTTGATTCCTCCCACTCCTGCCCAGATCACGGAAGCAGCAGGATGTGAGTTGCCCCACTGAAAAAGGTACTGAGCCACATGGCTAACATAGATCAGAAAAATGGGTTAATCAAGATGTGAGAGTTAGCCAGTAAGAAGCCTGACCTAACGGGCCAATCAGCATTATAACTTACAGAGATTTCAGTGTGATTTTTCTCTGGGACTAAACAGCTGGGGGGCCGGGCAGGACAGATACCCCAACAAGCCAGCCCCCATCATGTTACAGTTCAGCAGCTATTCATGGGTGACCCAAGGTACTCAGGGGGACAAAGGAGGAATAAAATAGAGTTGCCTTGAACAATAACAGAGCACTGGAGATAAAGACTTCTCAGAAAAGAGAGACTGTCTTGATGATGCTAATTGA